GGCAGAGAGGCAGAGAGGCAGAGAGGCAGAGAGGCAGAGAGGCAGAGGCAGGAGGATCTCCATGAATTCAAGGCCAGCCTGGTCTATGTAGTGAGTTCCAGGCTAGGCAGGACTACACAACAAACAAACACAAAGAATATCAAAGTTATCTGATACCAAAAAAACTTGAGAGGTTCTTTTTTAAAGAATCTAAAATTTACATGTAACAATATAACAAAACTATACAATAATTTTTATCTTAAACTTAAGGAGGCTGTGTATGCATATGTGTTTGCTCGTGTGTATGTGCCTGGAGTGTGTCTAGGCAAGGAGTCCAGTTGCTCTCCACCTTATTTTTTGAGACGGGGTCTCTCCCTGAACCTAAATATCATTAATTCAGCCAGATAAGCTGGCTAGTTACCTCCAGAGATCCAATTCCCCTAATATTGGAGTTAAGAAACACACACCACTACATCCAGGCTTGACGTGGGTTTGAGGGATCTGAACTGAGCTCTACATAAAACTTGAGTTGAAACTAAATTATTTTACAGAAGGTAAATTCAAATACTGCAGTTTCGCTCAACTAGAAAATACAGCAAATTAATCAGAAATATGAAAGTGCCAAGGTATCAAACTAAACTTCAAATGCCACCAAATAATGAGCAGAGAACGCGCTCACATGCACATGGACAAGTGCAAGTGCACATGCACACACACACACACACACACACACACGCTGTTTAGAAACAACAGAGACAAGATATGAAAGTTTCCCCCAAAAAATCATTCTCAAGAGGATCCCCAGAATCGATCCCCAGTACTGCAAAAAAGGAAAACAAAATATGACAAAAATAATAATAATTGATAAAGGAATTCAAGAAACAAAAGAATCAAAATATTTTACTCAAACCCCAAAAAGGCATAAAACAAAAGGAAAACCAAAAGAAAAGAGCAAAATGAAAATATTTACAAGCACGGCAGGCGACTCTGTGTCCATAATCAGTGGAAATTGGAATAGTTTAATAATAGCAGAATTAGAAAACAGAGTACGTTTGAAAACTGCAATTAATGTAAATAAAAGAGGGTGGGGGCGTGGCTCAGCTGATACAGGCCCTGCCACCAACTCTGAGGACACAAGCTTGCTCCCTAAGACCTACATGGCAGAAGGAGAGACCAACTCCCAAAAGTTGTCCTCTGACCTCAACAGACACACTGCAGCACTTGCACACATACATGTAATTAAAATAAAAACCTATGGGGGAAGAAGACAGGCAAAAGTGTGACCCTTTCTCCTACACTAAAAAGCACTGAAGTCTAAAAAAAATATTAGATCTGAGACACAGCACTGGCAGTGGCTGGGAGAGAAAGCTTTGTTCATGCCAGAAGGGAAGAGAGGCGTAAATGAACACTCTTGTGAGGAGCAATTTCATCCCTATGAAAACAAAGATTCAATGAAATTAAAGTAGAAATCCATAAAATCAAAAGAAGTGAGCTTTATGCTCACATCAAAAACTACTCCTTTGGAAAGGCCAATACGTTACTAAATCTCTAGTCAGGCTGATGAAGGAAAGACAGACACATGCTGTGAGTTCTACAGACAGTGAAAGGATAGCAAAGTCTAACGCAGCCATCCCTACACCCATCAGACTGAAAACAACAACAAAAATGTCTTCAAAGACAGAAACTGCAAACACTCACACTCTGAGAGACACATCACCTCAACCTGCTTGTAAGAGAGACGTTGAGTCAGTGATTAATCACCCTACGCACTCCCAAAAGACACAGCCTGCTGTTGGTATCACTAGTGGACTTGACCAAATGTCATGGGAGAATGACACTTTCTTAGGACATCTGCAGGACCAGAAGTAGCCCCGGGTGAGTCCCTGTTGGAGGACAACTAGCTTCACACACCTTCGTCACATCTTTTCTGTCTTTATTTTGAATTAAGTACATATGTGTCTGTCTTGGTGTGTTTCCTGCATGTAAGTGCAGTGCCCGTGGAAGGTAGAAGAGGGTGTCTGATCTGGAGTTGGCATTAGAAGCAGTTGGAAGCCCTAGGACAGGTGCTGGGGACCCAACCCATGCCCACTACTAAACCAGTATGGGTGCTTAAACCTGGGCCATCTCTCCTATCGAGTGTGTGGTGTGTGTGTGTGTATGTATGTGGGGGGGGGGATTTGCATCCATTTCTAACCAGCTATGTAACTGGAAGGAATAGAAAGGGTTAACAGCAACACCCACTCCCCACCTGCTCAGCTTTCACTTCCTCCATCTGAGCTAGGAAACTCCGGACCTGACCCAAGTAGGACGTGTGGGCTCAGGCCAGAGCCGTCCTCAACCACAAGACTGGGGAGATTGGCAACGGACAAGATCAGGTTTGAACTTACTCTAAATGATCTTTCTTGGACAGAGCTGTCCTTTAGAGTGAGGGTTAGAACGAGAAGAGTGATCAGAAGTCACAATGAGCCAGCCATTACTACAGGCCTCCCAGGAGGTCCACACAGCACCAGACAAGCTATGAGACAGGAGCAAGGAAACGAAGTGGGGTGAGTTGGAGGTAACCATGGGTCTCTGACAGCTAGCCTACTGCAGTGAAGGCTGCTTTGCCCAGTTCTTCATTTCCTTATGAACTCACTGTCTCAAACCTCAGTGGGCCTTGGACCCAGCCTGGACGGCCCTAGTAACACACTTAAACACAGATCTTAGGAGAGACACGGGACAAGAGAAAGAGACTTACCTGCTGCTGAGTCCATTGTCTCCTCCTGCCATCCCCTTCACAGACCCCAAAGGACCCCTAACTTGGCTCAGAGCAGGCCGAACCCCCCCTCTGAATCTCTGGGAAGTCCAGAGAAAACTCCTTCAGGGGCCTCCAAAGAGGAGAAAAAGGAAAGTGAAATTGTTCAGCTATGACATCACTGCACTAACACGCAGTCTCTGCCCCCAAGGGAGAGCAAAGGGAGGAGCAAAGCTAGCCCAAGACCCCAGAAACCAGGGACCCCCGCTGCCCTCCAAGGAAAGAAGGATAGAAGGGTCTGTTTCAGCTAAGGGCTCAGAACTGTCTGAGGCCAGCTGGCTGATTCGGATAGGAAGGAAGTAACTCTTTAGCCCTAGACGGGGGCGGTGCCTGGAAGGAACAGGAAGAATCAGGTTGTCTGTAGTCTCTCAGACCTATGGATGTCCTGGCACCCTAGTGCATCAGAACCAGAGGAGCTGGGACCTGATATTTGAGCAGCAGAGTAGGAAAAGTCAGAAGATGTGGCTTAGTAAGGTGTTTGGTGCTAAACTTTTAGCTAAAGGTAGCTAGAGTAAAAGACCTCCCCCAACCCCGCCCACACACCTCCACCAACCAAAGGCAAGAGCAGAGAATCCAGGCAGAGAGCCTATATAGGTGTGATATTGAGGCCACACAGGGCTTCAGCAATTTCACCATGGTCTTGAGAACAAGATGCATCTCGTGGAACTCGGAAGTGGGCCACAGCCGAGGCTATAGCCAGTCAGGGACAGTACAGTTTTGAAGAGCCGGTGCCTTATATTTCTTCTGCACAGTTTTTGCACGTACCCCTATATCTCGCTCTCAATCTGTAAGTTTGAAACTAGCTTGAAGTGGAAAGATAAAGAAACAGGAGTAAAGATGCAAATAAAACAAAAACAACACACAGAAGACTGGAAATGCAGGCAAACAGAGTCAGAGGCAAGGTGTCTCGGGACAAGGGCCTGTGCAGGGCTCCAGGCTCAGACCTCTGCTAAAGAGGAACAAATAAATTACTGACCTGCAGCAACAGGTCCCAAAATGTGCAGGGCTGCAAACAAAGCCGTACACCAAAAAAGTACATTTTATGTCTTCATTCATATGACATTTCCGCACAGGCCAAACTTAGCTGTGTAACTAACGAACTGTGATTTCCCTGAGGCTGGAATCTGGGAGGGGGTTTTCTGCCAAGAACAAGGGGATTTTAGGGGGGCAGAGGACTTGACCTGTGTGATCACTGTGACATGATTATATTTAGTAAAGTTCACCAAAAGCATTGCTTTAAATGAATGCATTTTACATATCTACAAAACCGTGCTAAAATATATAATTCTTATTGGCTCTCACTTGGTGTGAATTACCAGGTGAGGTTTTACCATCATTACTGTATTCTTAGTATGTGCAACTCTGAATAAAATCTTTGCCCTTATTGATATCTGTCTGATATAATAATTTTTCTTGCTTTAAAGGTTTCTTGAGGGTGGGATAATTTTCTGGCACATAAGCAGGCTCGTGATTCTTGTGCAGGTGCATGTGTGCACGCACACGCGCTCGCCCGCGCGCGCGCGCGCGCGCACACACACACACACACACACACACACTGTATTAACTGGACTTGCCTTGTTTCCTTCCTCCCTCAGTCCCCATCCCTGGGACACATTTGGATGTAAATTCTACTGTTGGTGTCTCCATAGGAAGTATAAAAATCTCTGTCCTGTGTGGGCTAGCCTTGGTTCAAATCTAAAGCCCCAGAGGCCTCAGGGGGTTCTGGGTGGGGGCAGGGGTGGGGGTATCTCATGGATCAAATACACTAGGGAAATATTAGAGAGGGTTACACAGAACTCTCCCCAACTGAAGATTTCTCAGAGACCCTAGCTCAGGCTAGAGAGTCATCTGGTTGCCTTTTGTTTTATTTCAATTTTCTCACATAAGTGATCCTGACGAATTCTAGACATTTCAAAGATGCCAGCTTTGATGATGGTGGTGGTGGTGGTGGTGATTAATTTAATGATTTCTAGCAAAGTTATTCAGGGTAACCTTCACCCTAATCCAGTTTGAGAACATTTCATTCCTCCACAAAGGTTACAATGAGGCCACTAGGGTGTTAGAGCCCCTGTTTGGGAAGGGGACAGTGGACACCCCCTTCTCATGTTCTCCAGTGCTGGTCCTTAGCCTCCCTGCCTGTCACTCTAGTTCAGGCAGATCTGGATTCCCAGCAGTGCCACTGAAACCCACAACGCTAACCTTGCTGGGGAACCGCACAAGGCAAGAGATGGGGCGAAGGGGAGGAGGGTGGAGGGCGGGATTGGCGCGCTCCGGCTTCCTGCTCCGTGTTCTGCGATCACTTTCGTTTTCTTTTCTTGAAACCTGACTCCTCGCGGTTCTTCCAGGGCAGCAGAACGTCTGGTTCAGACTGGGCTGGCAGGCTTTTCCAGGCGGGATCCAGGAACCCCTTACTAATCCTGGCAGTGATCAGGGAGAACCCGGGAGACCGGCGGTAGCCCAGCATCCAGGTGCGTTCTGCTCTTGGGCTCTGCAGCTCGGATTCCTGATTCCTGGGGTCAACTTTTATCTGCTGTCTCCTAGAGTCCCCCAGGCTCTCTCTTTGCTAAGTAATCTTTTCCAGAGACTCTGACCCTGGCTCTGATCCTGAAGTGGAGGTGGATAAGGGGAAGGCTGATACACACAACTCATTCTGAAAGTTAGACGCTTTGGGGCAGTGTCTAGTTAGTGCATGTCCTCGAGGTTAGACCTTGCATGCACCCACGGTGGGCAATGCCGTCTTCATCTTCCAACACTTGCCTAATCATGTAGCTATTGGGAAAGAGAAAGTAAGGAGCGTTCTTACGGCTCTCTAGCATGTTATGGATGGTTTTTGTATGTTGTTTTGTTTTTAATCCATAGTCATTTCGCTGAAATACATTACTACGCATGAAAATTCAAGGGAATTTAATTTTTACAGCTGGTGACTCTCATTACCAAATGAGCCACAGAACACTTGAAATGCGTTTTATTTCTACCATCTCAGACACTGGCTATTGTTTTCTCTCCTGGTCACTTTGATATGAATATGCACTGTCAAGTCCTTCCCACTTGTCTGACTTTTCCCGGCTTAATTTTGCATTCATTGTACATGATGCTCATTTTATTGACTGCTCATGTTTGGGGCTCTGTCTTTCCTAATGGATGTTTGTCTTTTCCTAATTTATTTGTAAGGTCCCTTAACATAATAAAAACCTGAATGCAGGCAGCTGAGACATAGGATCTTTTTTTCCCCTCTTCAGGACAAGGTTTTACTGTGTTGCCCTGAGTGTCCTGAAACTTACTAAATATACCAGGATGGCCTCAAACTGGCAGAGATCTGCCTGCCTTTGCCTCCAGTGCTGGCACCATTTCCTCAGGCTTGAGGTATGATATCTTGCACGGTGAAAAACAAAATATCAGAGTCAGACACACTCTACTATAGAACAGTGTCCTTGGGCTAGGTACTTAACCTCTGTTGATCTGACTTTCATCTTTACAAACTGTGGCAGGTGACAAATGACAAAGCTGTCACAGCGTAGGTCTGAGTAATGCTCTATATCAAGTCATCCTACACAAGAGCCCAGAGGACATGCTCACGCTGCCTCCCCTCCCCCATGCATATCCTCAACAGCTTCCTCTCCCACCTGCCCCCTGTCCTCTCCCACCTGTCCCCTGTCTACCAGGATTTTCTCAGGACTAGACTGTCCATGGCCCATCTCCCTGTTCTACAGTCCTACTGTAAAATTGTTTTCTCTTTTTGTTTTCTCCTCAAGTGTTTCTTGCTAAGTTTAAGGGATTGAGAAAGAAGGAGAAAGGGATGAGACTGCTTAAACTGACACTGGGACTTAAATTCCTGGAAATACTCATTACAGTTCTATCTAAAAAAAGAGGAAAGGGGGCCCCTTGTCTTCTTTGTGTGTAAGACAAACAAGTGGACAAACAAACAGAGCTTTACTGCTAGCTGGGATGTAGCCCAGCGATAAGACACTTGCCTAAGATGCACAGGTCCTGGGCTCCATCCCCCCTGCTGCCAATCAACACAAAAAGCACCCCTCCATGATGGCAAGATTTACTAGGGCTTGCCTTCTTACAACAGTTTGTTACCTGGAAGTTTTCTTCCTGACTGGTTATTTTTTCATGGTCTAGAAGCAGTCGATGTTTATAAACATCCCATAAGAAGATACAAGTCTGTCCTAAAGAATGAAATGGGGTTGTAAAAACCAAGTGGTGACTTTGACCAATCCTATTTTTCATATCCTTCCTGATTTTATTTATGTGTTGTCTGCTTGCATCAAAATGTTGTGAGTGATTTTTCAGTGTCTAAATATTACCAGGTATCTAGCTCCGCATATTGGGTGGTCCCTTTCTCGTGAGCATTAGCACAAGATGTCCTGAGGTGCATGCCAGGTGATCTGTTCTAACCCAACTCATATATACTCAAAGATAGATAGATGGATAGATGGATAGATGGATAGATAGATAGATAGATAGATAGATAGATAGATAGACAGACTCAGCACCTTCGGCCAAGCACTTTCTCAACTGTAAACCAGCAACTAGAAAGTCAAGATTTGATTGGTATTCAGTCCCCTCCACACTGCATAATCTAGCAGGAGGGTCACTTACTCCACCTCTGTCTGCATTAGAGTTCTCCACAGTTAGGTAGTTGTGATGACAAGTGACCATCTTACAGTGCTTTGTGAACTCCAATAAGTTAATACCTATGAAATCCTTGGAACAAAGGCTGGATGTAGCACATACTCAGTGAATAAGAGATGTTTTAAAAATAAAGTCCCTTTCAGGATGGTTGTATGCTATCACATGTCCCTCAGCCTCTGTGGTTGCTGGGCACTGCCCTTATTTCCTCTACCAATGGATCTTTTAGCAAGACTGCTCTGTAGACTGCTAAGGGATGCTTGAAGACTAGGATGTCTGCCTTTGAGAATCCATTTTAGGCAAAGAGCCACTCGCCATGCTCCTGAGAGCTTTTGCCTCTGTCTTCTCAGCCTTCCTCTTTCTATAGGATGTTCACTCTGAGCAAGGCCTTGGAAAAGGCTCTTCTCCAGCACTTTATATACACGAAGATGGACATCGCCTATGCCATCAACAAGCCGTTCCCCTTCTTCGAAGCACTCCGGGACAATTCCTTCATCACTGAGAAGATGTACAAGGTGAGGCCTGTGGACCCTCCACAGAGCAACCCAATCCTCATTACACACATTCCAATATTGAGATCTCTGACCACAACCCACCAGGGCTCCTAGAACATGGAAGGCCCAGCTTGACCATTATTGCAGGAAGGGATGGTTGGGGGAAAGGGTGTCTTGAGGCTGTGTTAGTGATAGGGTATATTGTAGGTGCTGTAAGTTTGGAGATGAATCTGTTTCTTGCCTCTGTTTAGCTTCTGGTGGCTGCTGGAAGCTCTTGGAGTTCTTAGACTAATAGTCTGCTGCAATCTCTTTCCATCTCTGTGTCATCTTCTCTCTTTTGTCTTCTCCTCTTTCTTCCTTTGATAAGAACACTTGCATTTGAGCACTGTTCTAATCCAGGATAGCCTGTCTCAGCATCCTCAATTACATCTGCAAAGACTTTTTTCCAAATAAGTTCACAGTCACAGCCTCCAAATGTTGTATGTTGTTTGGCACCAAGATGCTGCTCAACCCAGTGCTCAGGCATTGTCCCACTGTATAAGAACACGTGGGGCCCAGCTCATTCTAAAACAAAACATCACATTACATTTGTTGTGATGGCGTCTGTGTGAGTATGAGTGTGTGCACATCTGCCGGGGCATGAATGTGAAGGTCTGAGGAGAACTTCTGGGAGTTGGTTTTCTCTTTCTGCCATGTGGGTCCTGAAGATTGAACTTGGGTTAGTTATCAGACTTGACAGCAAGCACCTTTACCTGATGCACTGTCTTGTGAGCTCCCAGTTCATCCTGATGTAAGGCAGGCACTGGAAGTCATGGCTATGTATACAAATGCAGTGCTTGGTATACGGTTTGGGTGGGTTTTGGTTGTTGTTTTTCAGTTTGGGTTTTGGTTATTTATTTATTTATTTATTTATTTGGATTTTTGAATTCCAGGTTCAGGAGATGTAAGATGTAACATTGACATTAACTTTTACAGTTACATGTAATTGTCATCTCAGAGACTTTCTGCTGAATAAACTCTCCCTTTCTAGTTCTTTCTAAAATCTGGCTGGCTGGTTCAACTCAGCAGTTCTGGCTCAAACTCCTCTCCAAGCTGACCGATTCAATCTAGCTTCTCAGCTTCTCACTGAATTGTTCTGCTTGGCCTCAAACTAACTCTGGTAATTTGTTCTAATCTTCTGGCTCCTTATTCTCTGGTTTCAACTGCCTCTGCTGACCTGCACTGAACTGCATGAATTCACAAATGAACTCAGTTCCATGGCACTGCACTCACTGCACTGACTGCCAACTCACTGACTCAGCTCCACTGCACTGCACTCACTGCACTGACTCC